TGGATCCATCGTAGCCCCTCAATCCAGCTCCACCTTCAACATGACTCCATGGTAGATGATCAATCCACCCCCGCGCCTCGTCGACTTCAAGCTCCGTGTATACACCACCGTAAATCAATCCCGCGCCATAGTCTTGTCGAAGCCGCACAAGCCTCGGGCATGTGCACCACGTATTTCCACGCCCAGAAGTCGGTCACCATCAGCATCACGCTCATACGTCGTCTTCGCCGATCCCACCACCGTCTTCTGTACCAACCGACTTGCGTTGATCCGTCAGACTGTCCAGTCCAATCCAGCCGAACTTGTTCGGCTGCAACCATGCTCCACCATGCGCCGTGTCCGCCCGCACATCTAAGTGCATTGCTTGACGCCCTGTGTATGCATGATCCTGCCAATAACACACCCCAGACTTCTCGAAGTATACCCGAGACCATTTCCATCCATATGTACACACCAGTGTACCAGTGATGAAATCCAAAAATAGTCCCTTAGAGCTTTCCAGAGCACGTACAAGAAACAGCACTCGTAGCTTCTTAGACTCCTTTTCCTTTTCTCACACTTGATAGCAATCCATGTCACGGTTTGACTCCCTGTAGTTCCGTCTTTGTGCCATTTTTTAAACAACAAATCTCTCGTAGCTCTGACTTCGCTTCGCGTTCAGCCAACACGGCATCCTGCCACATCCGTCCAAGGCACGTGCGTCACGCCGCCGCCGTTCCCGCTGATCCGATTTCGCCCAGATGTCAAACGCAAGCACCGCTACCAGTCGTTGCTACCCTCGATTGCTTCTATTCGAGCGGTCAATTCCACTGCTTTCGTTGTTCACAAAACTCAGCCACGACCACCTTCGACCTTCCTCTTGATCAACGCACAACCACCTCTTCGTAACCTTACTCATGATACCACTTGTTAGAATAAATCCGAGGCACTCCGTCGATCATCCGAGAACCAAGCAATCACACGAGCACGACATCAAAATTTGTTAACGAGGTTCATCGATATGGCTACATTCCCGGGGCTTGACTATAGGCGCTCCTCCCCATGATACCGCTACAATATCGCACCCGGTCGCTCTAGACGCCGGCACATGCCGCCGGCTTCCCTTGCGTTCTGGTGCTATTATGTTGGCATATGTTACATTGTGTGTCTACCTCCGCTATATAAGAGAGGCCTAGGATACAGGTGTCCTACTAGGACACGACTCCACATCCTATGTAAACACAATACAACTCATAGTCCAACTGCAACTTACCTTGTACACAATATTTGACATAACTCTAACACGCAGTCAGATGCTACATTAACATCAGCTAGCAAATGGATGGGTCTCTGGCTGTCGTTTCCACTTGTCTTGGGTCTTTGTGACATGAAGATTCTGCATCCAAAACCGTATATCTGTGTCTAATCAGTGCAGCCAACGAGGATAACTACCATTACCATAACCAGTCCTACATAATTGCAGACAGAATGTCACCCTCAAACAACTTATACGGGGTCAAAGGGATGCCCCACTCCCAGCTACCGTCCAACAAACCTCAAAGTCAAAATCAGAAGGTCCCTCCGCTGCCTAACAATTTTGCTATTAGTAGCACTACTCTTCGGGTCACTCGCTCTGCAAGACTGAAAGTGCAGATGCATTCTACGAGCTCGCTGAGGGGCTGGATCTACCATAGTACTCCCTCCGTCCGAAAATACTTGTCATCAAAATGGATAAAAAATAATGTTTAGTTTTATATACGTCTTTTATTTATTTATTTTGATGACAAGTATTTCCGGACGGAGGGAATAGGTGCACCATTCACACGCCCGAGGAGCTCGCGCATGTGACTTGTTTTCGCGCCTCCACTCGGCCGTGTAGTCACAAATTCTCCGAGTAGGAAGAATCACTCGACGGCCGCCGACGGACAGTGCCAATTGCTACTACCGCCGTAATGTATCCTCGGTCCGACCATACAATTTAGAAGCTTCTACTCCTTTTTTTTGTTTTATTCATCATATATATGCTTTTCTTTGTTCCTTGTACCATGAAATGTTCAAGTACTAGTATAGGTGTTTATTTTTCTAAGCAATTCAAAAATAATAATTGTGAGGTAAACAATTCAAATATTGACTGAGTTGATTCTAAAAAAAAATAAAAATTGACCGAGTTTTGCAAATCTTTTGTGCGGCAAGAGGTAAAGAAAAAAAAGTCGAGAACATAGGGCACTGCCGTCACGCGCCGGCTACGCACAAGGCTGCACCTTGGCCTTGCAGGTCGCCCTGGCATAAGCATGGCCCTCGCCCGTGGTGGAGATGGTTGTGGCCGTTGTCGTCGAGCACGCCTCGACCTGCATTGCTGACTCCGGCGGATGTACGCATGTGTACTATTTGATGAAATGCCTGCGATGAAAAAAGCTTGAGAGAGTTGATGATGACATGTGGGCCCATCTTGTCATAACACCCAACATACGGTCAAATAAACGCTGCTGACTTTTATGCCACGCCAGATCCAACGAGTGGACCCAATCTTTCATAATCGTGATAAAGATAACCAACACAATAATCGGTGCAACATGGTTGATTATGGTAGGTTTCTAAATTAAAAAAAATAGGTAGTGTTTTGAAACCCTAATCCGAATTGTGGTAGTTTTATGCTATTTACTCTACGCCCGGGGCTTGTTCCCGTGTGCCCTCCTCCACGGAACATTCAATGCCATGCATTTAGACCTTTTAATCCCTTCAACTTGATATTTGAATGCTTTAAATATTTATTTATGTTTGGATTCTATGAAACAGAGGAATTTCTCATCCCTACAACCTTCATTCATCTTTTCATGCTCTTTACACTGTGTTTGGATGTCTGTAAGGATGCGCACTGAAACGTCGAATGGACATGGGCCCAAATACATCAGCGAACTCGCTATTATATGCTCCCTCTTCAACATTACGCACGGTCCTCCTATTTGGCTACCTGCACGTTAGAAGACAATGAAACATGCAGGGCGGGGGAGTCTGGCATCGTGTAAGGGCTGGCCCAACTCTTGCTCATTCGCTGCATTTTTTTCCTGCTCGCGATAGTTTCTTTCTCTCTGGTTCATACGTTTCTATCACATATGTTTCATTCTTTCCTCCAATACTGTTTCGTCGAAACAAACGAATGATTCAAAAAATGTTTGTGATTTTGAAAAAATGTTCAAGAAATCATAAAATGTTTGAGGATTTTTTTAAACTAGTCACATATTCAAAAAATGTTCACAAATTTGAAAAGGTGTTCGTGATTCTAAATGTGTGTTCATATATATTAAAAATATTCATGATTTTTTAGTAAAATTAAAAAGTTTCACTAAGATAAAAATGGTCGTGAATTACAAAAAAAGTTCATTGTTTAAAAAAATGTTCGTTCATTCAAAAAACATGTTGTCTAACAAAAAAAGTTTATATTTTTCAAAAAATGTAACCAGATTTCAGAAATATTGATTCAAAAAATATTTGTCGATTCAAGCAAGCGTTGAATAATTTCAAACAATATTCCACAATTTTACAAAATGTTCGTGAATTCAAAAAATGTTCACGATTTCAAAGGCATATTCATGAATTTGGAAAGATGTTTGAAAAATGAAACAAATTAAAAACGAAAATTATTAAAAAATGAAAGAACGAAAAATGAAAAAAAAATCAGAAAATACTGAAAGACAAAACAACAAACAGATGATAGAAATTAGGATTGGGCCGTTACGGAGCTTCCCCGGTCTGATTTCGATGGAATGACTCCCATCTCCTCCTCTGGTCCTCCAATTTTTTTTTTTAAATCTCCTCCTCTGGGTGCCCCGGCCCTCCCCGACCCTGCACGCCCCGCCGCCGGGATGGTTCAGGAGCAAAAGTTCAGAGCGGATGCATCGATGGATTTCTGCAGAGTAAGTAGCGATGCCACAGGTTATAGTGCCGTTGCTTCAGTTAATTTTCTTACTTGTGACCGTGCGACCTAAGTATACTTTTCTGAAGTCCTGTGTGCCCTTGGTGTTGAGTTCTGATTTCCCTTAAATACACTCTCTGTACATATAGTTGGTCACTCATAGCTTACACTTTCTTTTCGCAGCCGGACATGAAGTCGAAGAAATTTTTGCATATAATGGAGAACTCTCCAATTTTTACCCAGTTATATATGATGGCAACAGGTAACCGTATTATGGTTGCATTTCTCATATTTTTCTTACAAGGCGTATGTTTTTGTTATAAAAAGCGAGACTCATACAGCAAGCTTGTAGAACAGCATTACTAGTATTCAGCCCAGCCTCACATCAAAATTTAAACCTTATTTGAACTGAAAAACCGAGAGTTAGTGGCATTTTCTTCACACGGTTAAACATTGAGCCCCCCTTCATTGTGTTCGAAGATTCGCCACTGGTTACCTCCTATCATCAGTGGTGCACATTCTGTTATCACCCTGAACTGAATGCACTGCTACATACCTATCTAGATAATAATTGGAAGTGATAGATTTTAATATTTGCCGTAGAACAGTTGATTTTTCTGATGCAAATTGCAGCCTTTGCAGTGAAGGGCACCTGAAAGCAGCATGAATGGCACCTGAAAGCAATTATTTCTTCTTTATTCTTTCTAAATGCAGACCAGTGAATGTTCTAAATCTTTATATACAAGGAACCATGCAAAACCTCTCATCCCTGCACCCCTCATTCATCTATTTTTGCTCTCAATTTTTTGCCCAGGCCTGCCTGCGGTGGATGAGAATATTCTCAATTATGCACCGGACAACCATCTACAATTATACCCTTTGCAGTGGGGCAAGAAGCCAGAGGACATCCATCTGAAACATTGCCCCACCAGTTCAAAGTGATGTTATCTAGTTCCAGGCATAAATAAATCAAGACAGCCATGAATGCCAAACCAGCATCAAGTGCACCTGAAAGAAGATAATTGTGTCTCTTCCACCAGTTATGTCTGTACTTATAGACCACATAACCAGACAAAAATGCAACGCATATCCACGCCTCATAGTTGACTGCAGTGGCGGGAGGCATATGACTGATTCCACCGAGCAGCACAGGCATATTGACAAGTAAGATCCATTTTTGGCCTGGGAATGCCTTGTGTGCAAGCCAGACAAGGAGGGGAGCAATGGCACCGCCCAAAAAGAACCAGTTCACAGCAGAGTAAGTTCCCAAATCGCCGAATATTCTGCGTGGGCTGATAAGGCCCCATATGACTGATGCATCATAGAATAAATGGTCATAAGGACAGGTCCAAGGGCTGCCTGCTGGGAGGAGCTCGGTGTTGCATATATTGGGGATTGTGTCCATCATCCACCATGCTGTTCCAAGGTACACAAATGCTGATATCAAAGTGCCTACAACCTGTTATTTTCAATAACTTCACTTTTAGCTAGGGACACGGACAATTGATACAAGGGAAAAAAATTAAATGTGATTATCTTCGGACAAGTAACGGTCATTGTTCGTGTGTCTAGTGTAGTAGCTGACCTGAGCCATAAACATGGTCCTTGGGGGAATCTTCATGTAGTGGCCCAACTTAAAATCTTGCAGAAATGCTAGAGCTTGACGAGGGGCAACGTGGCCATATACCTTGAAACACATGTTTGCAACAGGTCGTCCAGGATATAAGTAACCCATGATGTACTCCGTGATGATATTCAAACCTGGAGTCTGTCAATATGATATAAAATAAATAGCTAAACTGCTGGCTGCTCCTAGCTAGAGCTGTAAGACATATAGTATCCATGTGCGTTCAAGTTTGGAGTCCATATATACCTGGTTGGTTGTTGCTGTGATGATTCCAATTGGAAGGGTGTAGAAAATAGAAAGGGCACATGCAAGCAGTATCCCCCACCAGGGTAACTGAAGTTGCTCAATGTAGTACTCACAAGTGAACACGGTGATTGCAGCACTGGCGACAAGGATGCAAATGAACCACCATTCAGGGACTTGCCTGTATCTCCTCATAAGCTTTGTGTGTACATCCATCTTTCTATCCTGGAAAGCTGATTTGCTTAACTGCCAAATTTCACTAGACACAAGTATTATATTGCAAGTTTAGTCGCATATCTCGCTACTTTTGCTCAAAAGACAAAGGAATCACATAGTGAAATTACGTACCTTCCATGGAAAAGGAGAACATGGACAATCGTTGCGGTCAGGCAAGCAAAACCAAGACCATAGCTGACAGCAAAGAAGGTGCTTATGTACAATGGCCCATTCTTCTCATAGGCATTTGCATCGAAGTGGAACTCGGAATCCACAATGCTAGAGATGTTGTATTTCTGACCAGTCGCCGTAAAGAGACCATCTGAAAAGATGGGGAAGTTCCGCGCCTCGTAGACGTTGAACCAGTAGGCGATGGGCGTGACTACATAAATGTAGATGAAGAAGCCCGCGGCAATGTTTGCAGTAGCAAACAAGGGGCTAGAAAGAGGGCTTCCGAGGTATGAGGAGATGGATGACCAGTCAAGCCCAATTGCACCTATGCCAAGGCCGTGGAGGCCTGAGCCAAGCTGTTGAGCGACTACGGAGGTGGGGAAGATCCAACAGATCCAGGAAATGGAAGTGAGCATCTCAAACAGGTAGCCTGGGAAGATGTAGTAGGCAAAACTGCACACGAATGCCACCAAGAAGAATTGAGTGCGCGTGGTGCCACCTTTGCGCCTTCGTTCCTTCTCATGAAGTGCCCTGATCAGCATATGTATCATGATTCATGAATCCGTAAGTTACTTGTTCTAATTTCTTATTACTAGTTGGTAGAAGTTTCATTTTAACAAACTGTTAAAAAAATTCTGACAAAGCGCTGAATTTTTCCGAGTCAGTATTTACGACTATCTTGATAAACATGTAAGGTTTCTGGTTTGATGAGCGTGCTTGGCTGCTTGCTAATTTCTGAAGTCACAAATTTATCCATGCATTTACAAATTGTGGGCCTCAGTTCAGGAGGAACTGGTAAAAGCACTGCGACTGCATTTTGGTCAAATAATACAGTAGGTGATTGAATCTTTGGATTTACTGCATCTAATCCTGATGTTGCGTTCTAGCTTCCTGTTTTTGCCCCTTGTAGAATTATTGTGGTGAGCTCCACAGAATCTTGGAAGTGTTAATTAATGTACTCCCTCCGTTCCTAAATATAAGTCCTTGTAGAGATTTCACTATGGACTACATACGGATGTATATAGATGCATTTTAGAGTGTAGTTCATTCATTTTACTCCGTGTGTGGTCCATAGTGGAATGTCTCCAAAGACTTATATTTAGGAACGGAGGGAGTTGGAATAAAAAGAAGGGGCACGACACGTGCCCTTGACCAAAGTTTTTGTGTGCGCGTGTTGCTCCTGATTTGATGTGATCGATCCTGTGGGCGAGTTCCAACAATTAATTATTCTGTTTTCTCTTTTACTTTCTTTTTTTTACTAGGCACATGGAGGCTGATCGGCGGTCTTCTTATTTACTCGGGATAACTGGACACCCTTCTGGTTCTGTCTTGTGTAATTTGCATCTGCGCTGATTGATGTTAGAGTTGCCAGAATCCCCTAGTGCTGCCCCAGCGCCGCAATGGTTTTATTTGTGAATCGGTAATTGATTTCTGTCCATTTTGGTAGCTCGACGCATAAGTTTTGTAAGGCAACTGATACTGTATCAGTGTAGTGTCAAAATCGCTCTTATATTATGAGACGGGAGGACTTTTTGTGACAGCCTTTCAGTGTCTTAAGTGTCTGCACAGTAAAGTGATAGAATCAAACGTTCACACAGTAATACTATTCAGCTTGGCCGCTTGCTTTAATCATTCTGCTTGTGGTACCACTAGCACTAACAGTACCTAACATTCAAGGCTGCGACGACTCCATGACCACCCGCTACCACACAATCATTAGCTAGAACATTCGTCAGGCATGATGCTACGACAGGCTACCTATAAGAAATTATATGTTTGCAAGATGCAATAATATGCTACGACACTATTGAATAAGGATGCAACAGTATATGATGCTGCTCTGATAAGTGATGACATTAAAAACTGTGACACTCTGTTTGCTGTTGTACGAGTATTTGTTACTGCGTACTATTAATTTAATTTATCGTAGATTCAGAGATAATAGCTGAAGAGGCAGACCTGCACAAGGTTGGACGGCCACCACATCGCCGCCGGCTCCGCAAGATACCGCCTGAATATGCCTTCCCACCCGAACCCCAGTCAGGCCATCTACAACCGAAGCCCCCATATCGACTTCAACTGTCCAAGCGACCTGCCCGGTCACTACCCGGACAGCGAGACACCACCCAACCTGACTTGTCAAACGCTGGCTAAACGTCCGGACTGCCTGGCACATCCCATACCCAGCCCATATCTGGGGCGGACCAGATGCCCCTGGACATCGCTGCCACGTCGGACCAGCCCATTCTCGCCCACACCGTCATGGCCCATGTCCCCACAAATACCCCAACCCGGATGCCCAAACCCTTGCCAAACCTCACTCTTTGGACCTCTCAACTCCACTATCGTCTCCTCCCCCTCCTCTACCCTTCCCTCCGCCATGGCCAGGAACAGATCCAATAGCGATTCCGACAAGATCGATCGGCCGACGCTTGTGAGGGACTCCTCCAGCTTGTCTGCGCCGGGCAACTAGGATCTCACGCTCCGCATCTCCCTTTGCCTCTCATGGATGGACCGTGGCGCGGGTGGGCAGCTACGGCTCCGTGTTGGCATGTGGCCGCACAACTAGGTCCGTGCCTTTCCCGGTCAGGCGGCAGGGCGACCAATGGCGCCCGACACCTGCCCCCTCCTGTGTGCCAGAGAAAGCCGCATGGCGCGCAAGGGAGCATGCCCGTGCCATCGATAGCATGGTAGCATCATCTCCTCCTCCTTGGACAACGACACCACCAATGATGACACTTCGCCCGCCGTCGACGCCTACGCCGAGGACAACCCATGCTCTCGAGACCTCAAGGGGAAGCGGTCGGCGAGGAAGTGGTGAACTCCGGCAGCTCTCTCTGTTTAATTACTTTTAATCAAAGTGTTTTAGTCAGGTGATGAACTCCGGGGGGGCTCTTTTGGACCGGATTGTAACTTAATCCCCTATCTATATCGGATTACAATGTTTTGTACTCTGCACGCTTTTGTAGGGATTTGGGGCAGACATTTGAGGACCATGGCTGTGGATTGGGACAAATAAAGGCTGCCCCGGCCAGCGCCGCAATGGTTTTATTCTTGAATCGGTAATCGGCTTCTGTCCAGTTTTGCTCTTGGAGTAACAGTAGAATCGAATGTTCACACAGTAATACTACTATTCAGCGCAGCTTCCAATCCATACCGACGTGCAACTTGGGCCCTTTGCTTTAATCATCATTCTGTTTTTGGTACCACCGCTACCTAACTTTCAAGATCGCGATGACTGGCCGAAATCACTATTCTGACCTTTTCATCAATCTTTGCCACAAAGTGAACTCAACATGAAAGTATTTCACGATTTGACCCTTTTAGCAACACCATAGCCCGTGACCTTTCCTCTCCATATAGAAACGTCGATGTAGCTCGCGTTTTAAATCCACATTCAAACGCCGAGCTAGCTATGTTGTCGATCCACATAGAAACGCCAAGCTAGTGGGCGTTGCTGCCCTGGCTAGCAACGCAATAAGCATTGGCGTTTTCATGGACTAGCTAGCTAGCTAGGCATAGCTACTCCACAATACGTACATACTGCGGCCTTCCTTTTGCAGAAACGCCAATGTTCTTGGTGTTTCTCACCTGGTCTGCATCGCGAGCTACCTCGACGCTTCTTCTTTGAACAGGAACGCTAGCTAGCTCGGCGTTTTCATTTTGGGCAGAAACGCCGCGGGCTATGGCGTTGCTAAAAGGGTCAGATCGTGAAATATTTTCATGTCGAGTTTATTTTGTGACAAAGTTTGCTGAAAGGGTCAAAATAGTGATTCTCCGTGACCACACATTCATTAGCTAGAACAATCCGATCGGCATGCTGCTGCTACGGTGCAGTGGCTGATCTAGCTAGGTACACTAGTATCGTATAAGAAATCATATCCTTGCAAACAGCAATAATACTATGCACCACTCCACTTTTTATTGAATAATGATGCAACAGTACGTATATGCTGCTGCTTTGACAACATTGATTGAAAACTGTGATATTATACAACTAATAATCTGTGTGACGTGACGTTGTATTTAGCATTGGGTACTAATTTATGGCAGATTCAGAGATGGTACCTGAAGAGGGAGACCTGCACAAGGTTGGACGGCCACCACATCGCCGCCGGCTCCACAAGATACCGCCGGAATATGCCCGCCCACCCGAACCCCAGCACCTACATGCATGCCCGAGGCGGGCACCAGTTCATTCGTGCTCCACTCCACCACTGAAGGCACCTTGAATATCAGGTATGAAGTACTACGAACCTGGCTGGTGAGGACCACGAGGAGGGAGACGAAGAAGGAGATGGGCTTGCCGTAGAAGACGCGGACGGCCGTGACGAGGTTGATGGCGAAGACGCTGCCGGCGCCGGCGTTGGCGAAGATGGTGATGAGCACGTGCTCCTTCACGTTGAACGGTCCCGGGTTGAGCGTGAACTCCCACCGCCGGCCGCGGAAGAAGGCGCGCTCGGGGAGCGCCGCGGCCATGAGCCGGCCCAGCGGCACCACGGCGACCTGCGCCGAGATGGCCGTGATCTCCAGCGGCTCCTTGCGGTACCCGAAGAAGGTGTTGAGGAAGGAGAGCGCCACGCAGGCGGTCGCGCCGAGCGCCCACATCCGGAACGTCAGCACCGGCGTCGACGGGTCGTCTCCCACCGGCACCGTCAGCGCCACCTGCTCCACCGGCGAGTTCTCCGCCTCCTCCCATTCCTCTCCTTCCTCCGGCGAACTACATGGCTGCACTGCACGGGAAGTTAAGCAACGTCAGCCATCGTCTTCCCAGTCCACGCCCAGTAAAAGACTGAGCCCACGATTTTTGTGGCTCGGCCGGCTTACGAAGTGGAGCGGTGATTTGGTCGCCGTGCTGGTCGTGGTGGTCTTCCTGGCCTGCTTGTTCATGGAGTTGTTCTTGGTGGGAGGAGGAGGCCATGGTTACGAGTGCTGGGACTTGTAATTATGCTCTCTGTAAGCTTGTCGCTTTTGCTCCTTTTGGCTGGGAATCTTTGCAAAAAGAAAGAGAGAAAATTATAAGATAGTATTGTTATCTGAAAGCTCCCCAAGTCCCCATAGCTGATGACGACAATTCTCACTATTACTCCCCGAGTACCAAGGATCACATGGCACGCTTATCAAGGATCAATTGACCACGGTTAGGAGTGTAGTTGTTGGGAAGGATAAGATTCTTTGCTATTAACATACTGTCAGGTGTGGAGTATTGTTTTAAAATCTACAATTGGGCAGATTTTTAAGCGCCCACAACCATAACCACATATAAATATGAGCATATTAGGGGCAAATAAATGTCAGGTGTGGGCTCGAGTTAGGTAGAGAAATGAAATTTCCCAATTTTATTATAGGTGGGTTTCAGATAATTGGCTTAATTAATGATCCTTAAAAGAATTAAAAGTTCAAATTTTGAGATGCAACAAAGGTGGATGTTATTTGTGTTGGAAGGCCCGTAAAACCAGGGTCTCAAGCAGCGAAAGATGGCCACTCGCGCGTGTGCAACTACTTCGTTCCGTGTAATCTCCAACGGTTTTTTTTTGTCTGTCCCGTTACTGAAGATCAAGATGGCGAGCGCGAAGGCGAAGATTCAACTCGTGGTCTGAGGTCCAGGCCACTCGTCGTCACATTCTTCCCGGTGGCTTGCAGGCCTAGATTGGGCCCGTTAATCGGGATGTAACAGTCTCATTCAAATACATGTGTGTGTGGTTAGTTGTGACTTAGAATAGAAGCAGGTGGCCTCGGCCAAGACACTGTAGCTACCGAGATGCATGGGAAAGTAGTTCACATTTGGCATCATAGCCATTTCGATCCTGGAGATTCCACGTCACCAGCATGCTTCGAGCAAGGTCCATTATCGACAGTGGAAATGTCCTGCTCTGCTGCTTCGTCCTTGATTCCTATGATCCTAGTGTGCAGTGCTTGGCCTCTAGCAAGTAGTAATCTTTATTTTCATTTCATTAGCTGCTTATGGAGGCTGTAGTTCGGGTTTGCTCTTTAGTGTTCGCCATTGTACCGGTTTGGCCATTGTAATTTGGGTGCGTGTTGTAATTCCTGTCTGGTTGATGGCTTTGTTAATTCAAAGCCAAGCTCTTCGTGAGCCTTTGTTCTAAAAAAAGTAAGGGTGGCGGCGGAGCTGCAAGACGTCTGACGCGGAGAAGGAAGAAGAGGGGAGAGAGCAAATGGATCCGTTAGATTGAGGGGGTGAATTTGATGCAATTTATGGTGAGGTAGACCTGTCGGGTCCGACGTTGCGGACACGCCCGGGCATCCCATCCTCATATCCACCCTACATTTGAACTGGATATGAAGAGTGCCGATCAGCTCGGACGCTTGAGGTGCCCGTCTGAGTCGGGTTTTACCGGGCGTTTGAGACGGGTTTGGGCAAACCGCCGTGGATGCTGTAAGGTAATTGAATCTGGTTGAATGCTCCTTTTTTTTGCTAATCGGAGTGCACCGGTCCATGCATGCATATGCCGCACGAGACGCGCACACACATTATGGCATAGTCCGAATTGGACAAGGAGGGGGGGGGGCCCTTTTTCCTTCTTCTCCTGTCTCCCTTCCTTCCCTTCTCCTACTCCTACAAGGAAAGGAGGAGTCCTACTCCCGGTGGGAGTAGGACTCCCCCCTTGGCGCACCCTCCTCCTGGCCGGCCGCCTCTCCCCCTTGCTCCTTTATATACGGGGGCAGGGGGCACCTCTGGACACACAAGTTGATCTGTTGATCTTTCCCAACCATGTGCGGTGCCCCCCTCCACCATATTTTACCTCGGTCATATCGTAGCGGTGCTTAGGCGAAGCCCTGCATCGGTAGCAACATCATCACCGTCATCACGCTGTCGTGCTGACGGAACTCTCCCATGAAGCTCTGCTGGATCGGAGTTCGCGTGACGTCATCGAGCTGAACGTGTGCTGAACTCGGAGGTGCCGTACGTTTGGTACTTGGATCGGTCGGATCGTGAAGACGTACGACTACATCAACCGCGTTGTGCTAACGCTTCCGCTTTCGGTCTACGAGGGTTCGTGGACTTACTCTCCCCGCTCGTTGCTATGCATCATCATGATCTTGCGTGTGCGTAGGAATTTTTTTAAAATTACTATGTTCCCCAACATAAGGTACCTATAATGAACTCATTCTTTATTTATACTGGTGTTAAACCTACTGTATTCCAACTTCTCTATGATGCATACCCCCCCCCCCGATACTAGCCATAGATTCATCAAAATAAGCAAACAACACACGAAAAACAGAATCTGTCAAAAATAGAACAGTCTGTAGTAATCTGTAACTTTCGAATACTTCTGGAACCTAAAAATGCTACCAAAATAGGAATTCCTAGGAAATTTGTCTATTAATCTTCTGCAAAAAGAATCAAAAGAAAAACATGTTTCTTTTTTTCAGCATGATCACATTAACTATCACTCAAGATGATCCTATAGGTTCTACTTGGCACAAAAACTAATTAAAACATAAAACCACATCTAACCAGAGGCTAGATGAATTATTTAATACTAAACAGGCGCAAAAAGTAAAGAACAAAAATAAAATTGGGTTGCCTTCCAACAAGCGCTATCGTTTAACGCCCCTAGGTAGGCATAAAAGCGAGAATAGATCTAGGTATTGCCATCTTTGGTATTCAATTCATAGGTGGATGTCATAATAGATTCATAAGGTAATTTAATTTTCTTTCTAGGAAAGTGTTCCATGCCTTTCCTTAATGGAAATTGGAATCTAATATTTCCTTCTTTCATATCAATAATTGCACCAATCGTTCTAAGGAAAGGTCTACCAAAAATAATAGGACATGAAAGATTACAATCTATATCAAAAACAATAAAATCTACGGGTACATAATTCCTATTTGCAACAATAAGAACATCATTAATTCTTCCCATAGGTTTCTTAATAGTGGAATCCGCAAGGTGCAAGTTTAAAGAGCAATCATCAAATTAACAGAAACCTAACACATCACACAAAGTTTTTGGAATCGTGGAAACACTAGCACCCAAATCACACAAAGCATAGCATTCATGATCTTTAATTTTAATTTTAATAGTAGGTTCCCACTCATCATAAAGTTTTCTAGGGATAGAAACTTCTAATTCAAGTTTTTCTTCATAAGATTGGATTAAAGCATCAACGATATGTTTAGTAAAAGCTTTATTTTGACTATAAGCATGAGGAGAATTTAACACGGATTGCAACAAGGAAATACAATCTATTAAAGAACAATTATCGTAATTAAATTCCTTGAAATCCAAAATAGTGGGTTCATTGCTATATAAAGTTTTGACCTCTTCAATCCCACTTTTACCAATTTTTGCATCAAGATTTAAAAACTCCGAATCATTGGGACGCCTTTTAACTAAAGTTGACTCATCTCCAGTCCCATCATTACCAAGGTTCATATTGCAAAACAAAAATTCAATAGGGGACACATGAATCACTTTTAGATCTTCATCCCTGTTTCCTTCTAACCCTTCCGGTTTGGCGGCCATCTTATTAACTAAGGTGGCCTGCTTATCCAAAATTTGGGCTATTGAGTTTTGAAGATGAGCAAACTGACATTTCAAACCATAAAATTCCTTAGACATATCATCAAGTTCTTTATTCATGTATTCCATAAAGCTTTTTTGTTCTTTAAACTCGTTTCTAAAGAAACTATTATGCTCAAATTGTAAAGTCATAAAGCTTCTAACGTTGGTTTCGATTTCTTCCAACCTTCTAAGGTGAGGATCAACGTTTTTTGGCAAGGCTATCAGGGCAAACAAGCACACAACAAGCAAGCGAAAAAGAGGCGAACGGGAAAGAGAGGGTGAATAAAACGGCAAGGGTGAAGTGGGGGAGAGGAAAAAGATAGGCAAATGGCAAATAATGTAATGCGAGGGATAAGAGTTTGTGATGGGTACTTGATATGTCTTGACTTGTGCGTAGACCTCCCCAGCAACGGTGCCAGAAATCCTTCTTGCTACCTCTTGAGCATGCGTTGGTTTTCCCTTGAAGAGGAAAGGGTGATGCAGCAAAGTAGTGTAAGTGTTTCCCTCAGTTTTGAGAACCAAGGTATCAATCCAGTAGGAGGCTACACGCAAATCCCTCGTACCTACACAAACAAATAAGAACTTTGCAACCAACGCGATAAAGGGGTTGTCAATCCCTTCACGACCACTTGCAAAAGTGAGATCTGATAGAGATAATAATAAGATAAGTATTTTTGGTATTTTTATGATATAGATTGAAAAGTAAAGATTGCAAAATAAAATAGATCGGAAACTTATATGATGAAAAATAGACCCGGGTCCCATAGGTTTCAGTAGTGGCTTCTCTCAAGATAGCATAAGTATTACAGTGGGTGAACAAATTACTGTCGAGCAATTGATAGAAAAGTGCATACCATGAGAATATCTAGGCATGATCATGTATATAGGCATCACGTCCGTGACAAGTAGATCGAAACGATTCTGCATCTACTACTATTAATCCACACATCGACCGCTATCCAGCATGCATGTAGAGTATTAATTTCATAAGAACAGAGTAACGCATTAGGCAAGATGACATGATGTAGAGGGATAAACTCAAGCAATATGATATAAACCCCATCTTTTTATCCTCGATGGCAACAATACAATACGTGCCTTGCTGCCCCTGCTGTCATTGGGAAAGGACACCGCAAGATTGAACCCAAAGCTAAGCACTTCTCCCATTCAAGAAAGATCAATCTAGTAGGCCAAACCAAACTGATAATTCGAAGAGACTTGCAAAGATAACAAATCATACATAAAAGAATTCAGAGGAGATTCAAATATTTCTCATAGATAATCTTGATCATAAACCCACAATTCATCGGATCTCGACAAACACACCGCAAAAAGAATTACATCAAATAGATCTCCAACACTAGTAGAAAAAGGACCTAATATGAGA